CATACAATTCAATACTGAAAAAATACGAACAGATAAAAGGAACACCAATAGGATCGTCCATATCAGGATAAATAGCTGAAGTCATCATGCAAAGATTACAATTAAGTGCCCCACCTACTGTTGAGCCAAAACTCTAAGTACGTTACGTTGATGATAAATTTGTAATAATTAAAAGAAATGATTTGGAATATACCCAGAAATTAATAAACAACATATCTGAAGGCATCAAATTTACAAGAGAAGAAGAATTAGACAATAAAATCCCATTTTTAGATGTCTTAATCAGAAGAACTAACACAAGAAATTTAGAAACAGAAATATAGGGAAAATCAACGCACACAGACCAGATATTCAACTATACTAGTAATAACCCGATTAACCACAAAAGAAACTGTGTGCAGACATTGTTTAGAAGAGTTAAAACACATTGTAGCAGTCCGGTGTTGAAGAAAATGGAGGAAAATACCTACTAACGGTCTTAAAAAAGTGTTCAAACTCGAGTTATAAAGCCAGCAACAAACCATCACCAAAGACCACAAGAAAATTCATTCTACCAAATATAAAAAATATCTCCGAAATAACAGTTAGAATATTAAGAAGTTTGAAATAGATATAATAATAATAATTATAATCACTTTATTCCACAACAATAACAATTTACAGCATGGAATTTTCAGCGTTTCTTTTAAATATTGCAATGGTTTAGCTCTGTTTATAATTATATAAATTTATAAAAAGTTAAAATATTGACAATTAATAGGAAAAAATGAAACCCCAACAAAATCACACCATTGCTAGGTCATGGTGAATAATAAATAAATAATATAACAAATAACACATGCATTAATATACTTCATTACATTTTATAGTTTAGTTAATGATTTAAAAGTTGTAAAAGTTCTTTTCTGATATTTGTCTCTTCACATAATACTCGTGCTGAATATGGTACGTTCGAATTTTTATATTTTGTAGTACGAGCATAAATGTTTATGAAATTTCTTTTGGTCTTACCCGAAGAGATACAAGGAAACAATTGTGAATAAAGAGGATGTTCACTATCAGACAAGATAACTTTAGCTAAATGTTTACAAGAATTCATATGCCTATTGACAACAGTGTCAGTTAGTTGAGTCAAAGGGATAGCACTGACCCTACTTACAGCCTTCAATGTTCTTCGTAGTATTATATGGTCTTTCTTGAGTAGCCCAGGGAAGAATAATGGAGAACAATAAAGAATGATGGTCAAAACACATGAATTAATAAATTGTATGAGAAGAGATTGGGTTATACCTGAGTGCTTCAACTTCTTTATGTAATAAGTCAGACGGAAAACTTTCTTAGAAACTATAAGAATACGAGACGACCAGCAAAGGTTTGAAGAGAAACTAATGCCCAGATAAGAAACACTTGACTTACTCTCTATCATGGTACCATCAATATTACAACAATCATGAGATTGGATCAATCCATGCATGTCTTTTTCACTTCTCAAGCTGAAATCAACAGTATTACATTTAGTTGGATTTAGTTTAAGACCATTTGAGCCAGATTAATCATTAACTTCAGCTAAGAAGCCATTCAAATGGGAACAATCCGATGTGGAAACTACAGGGACAGAAAAGGTCAGATCATCAGCATACTTAATGAAGTTAACTTTGGGTGAGTTCGGAAAGTCATTCAAAAAGAAAGAGAAAAGAAATGGAGAAAGTTCTGCACCTTGAGGCACATCACTTTCAGTTAGCTGAGAAGTGGAGCGCTTTCCAGCCAAAACAGTATGCTGTTTCCTATCCTTAAAATACGAAGACAGCCATCTAGTTGCCAAGGTCTCTGTTGAAATCATCTTTCCTGATAAAAATGTCCTAGGAACAGAGTCGAAAGCTGCAGTATAGTCTAAAAAAGCTGTTCGAACAAACTTAGCACCCTTATCAAGGCAGAAAACAATATTGTGGTGTAGTACAATGGCTGCATCTAATGTACTTCTTCCACACTTATACGCAAACTGCTTAGGGTCACTAAAAGCTTTTAAAGAAGTTTAAGAATATTCAAAAGAAGTTTCTCCATAGTTTTCAAAAAAGGAGATGTTTTAGCAACCGGTCTAAACTTTATACCTGCTTCAGAAGATGATTTCTGTACAGGTACAACCTTGATTTCTTTCCAGTCAGCAGGTACCGTTTCCCTGTTAAATGATGCATTAAAGATCTGAGTAAGAATATGACACAAGATGTCTGCACACTTTTGAAGAAGAAAGCTTGGTACACCATCTGGACCAAGGCTGTGTGTTGGATTTAAAGATTTCAAACATAATAGTACATCCTTTTCTTTAAAACCCGGAGAATGACCATTATCTTGACTAGGTACATCAGGTACAATCATATTAATTTGTTTCATGATAAATGATTTGTTTAAAGCATTAACATCAGAATAAGCATCAACAGACATTTGTTTTTTACTTGTAAGTTTATTGAAAAGCGCACAAGCCAACCAGCGCAATCACTTCATTCAATACTGTGCAAACTAAAACATCCAACAGAAAAAGAAGACATATTTACTACCATTTACAAGATAAATTGCATGATCTGCAATAATCATTACACTCGTAAAAGTGGGCATCGCCTTTGAATCAGAATTCAAGAACACAAACTGGCTATAAAAAGGCATTATGGACATTTTTTTGGTATAAATGCATGTGGATAATTATGGACACCAGTTCGATTGGGATAATGTAGAAGTTTTAAATGAAATAGACTACAATTAAAATGAAATAGACCATAATTTGTGAAGTGTGAGCTTGATCTAATACAGAGTTTGGTTTTTAGAAAATTCCTCGTCATCTGACTGAAAGTTGAAGATAAATTTATCCAAATGGTGGCAAGAAATAATAGTAATAATAGTCTGAATTATACCATGTGGAAAGGAGTCAGAAGGGTGCGACAAGATGCGAACATATGAGACGATACGTCCCTGATAACCGTATAGGTAGGTCAGGGTAAACACATAGGATGATTGGAATTTTCTACACACAGGTTAGATTTGTTCGTATAGAGACATAAATCTTCAGCTACAACTTCGAGGCGTAATCAACTATCTTAAGGCAGACTGTTTGGCAGTCAGTATAGGACCATAAATGATGAATCTATTTGCAAATTGGACTACTCTTGTGGAACCATTTATATAAGCATTCATCTTTACGCACTCGTGAACATGAACCAGTTTCACTTGGAAAGGGATTAATCAGATAAATAAGTAATGCTATTTCATCTCATTGATGGGTCATTTACTGTCGTACCTCAGGTGGTAAACAACCTACCTACAGGTATGCGAATGCATCTCTTAGATATAACTTAAGCTACATGAATCACTGAGAACAAGCTAACAGATGTATCCTTTTGAAGTAATTCTTATGCCTTTGAACAGCAAAAATATAAAGTGATCTCAGTGTTATATTAGTGAAACATCCATACGTAATAAAAATCTCACTAGTGTGTGTTTGAAAAATGTTCCCTTGAGCAAAGAAAGCGTGAATTTCGGCAGCTTTTCTTGTGAAAAATCTTCATCTAGGTGGGTGACAAAGTATCCATCCAGACGTCTCTTTTGGTGCTTGATAAAATCTGAATAATTCTGCTGAAGATGATGTAGTTTACACAGCGAAACGCTTAGATAAATGTCATTTGAATTTTCTCTTAAACACGCCGGGAGGTGGCGTTCAAAGTGTCTCAGAAAATTCATAACATATACATTCTGGAAACTTATAGTCCCTTTTTAAGACCAAAAATCATTATTGTAGCAGACTGTATTTAATTTCAGCCGTTTTTATATTTTCGCTACACTTCGCTTTCATATCCATTAGTGCTAGAACATTTCAACACTTATTAAAGATTTATCGCATATTGTATTCTCTGATATAACTGTTTATTTACATTTCCCCTATCAGTTCCTTGTATATTTAAAATCAAATAAATTTCGAGTATTCGGTGTGTAGTAATATTAAGACTTTACTAAGTTAAACAGTTATATTTATCCAATATATTAATAATATAACCTTGCATAGTTTACTAGCCGATTCTAAACCCAGAAAGAGATAGAAGTTTGAACGTTGGTCAGTTGACTAATGTTGACATGGAGAGGATGTAGCGAGGAGGAGATGGTAGCCTACAGACAGTCGTGGGGTAAGCTAAAGAGGACAGCAGAGAACAAAACGAGATGGGGATGAGTTGTTGATGCCGTATCTTTCACAAGGAACCAAAAGAGAACCAAAATAAGTATTCATAATAGGAAAAACATTTCTTATAATGTACACTGGCGATAATGTTTGCTGAATCTAATTCCATGAGGATTTTAATGCTAATTCACCTTCACCACATTCATATGTATATCATTACAGTAGACAGACACAAGGGATAGATTCAGTTTGTGTTTTAAAAGTATTAGAAATAACAAGCTCTGAGATGGATAACGGTCAGAACATGTAAAAGTTATTCTGAAAGCAGTTAACTTTGAAATGAGACGGTCGATATAGGTCATCATATTGTCCGCAGCAAATTATCTAGTTATATCAAGGAAAATATTGCTAATTCTTTATATGTGGTATGAGGGACATCGTAACAAGTACTATGGAAGGTATTACACTCATTAGGTGACTCAAAAAGACCGAAAACGCAGAATCTTTTAGGCTCCTCTTGAATGAAAGTACCTATAATGCTCAAAAAGTTAAGAATCTACTTTGTCGTGGTCTGATTTATGTGTGTTAATGAAATAGTTCAGTTTTACTCTAAAACGCATACTGCTTACGCATTCAAAATCAACTGTAACAACATTGTTTCCTTAAGTATTGACATCGGTTACATCTGAATTCTAGATTCACATTACATTAGCCTACAGTTTTGCTGTGTTCTTCATGAAAGCATACTTTGAGAACATGTAGGCGTTTCAGTCTACAATGACGACAGTATCCCCGTGGTAGACATCGAAAAAAGCAAAACAAAGCAGAGACTATGTCGGGGAAAAATATTTTATTTAACTAATATAAGCATAAGTCAAGATTGTAATGATAAATAAATACAAGTATTATATAAGTGGCACAAATTTTTTTTTGTTGTTTTCTGTAATATTGTAATCAATATATTGGTCTCAATTTTTTCTTTCTTGTCTGTTGATTCACTCTTCTAATCACTGGATCTCATTGACAGATCACAATCTAACCAGATTTAAACAACAGTACTGCACGGTCCTCGAGGTAGAAGTAGATGAAATTTTGAGTTTCATGAGTTACGTAACTTTAAAGAGGGGGGAAAAAGTAAAAAGGGAAAAACAAACATTTAATACTTATCTGTCAGGGTTAGAAAAATATAAATATGTTGTCCTAGAGAATCGACTTAATATTAGTTAATATATATCACCCATTGCACAGAAGTCGAGTGAAAGTAACATTCTGTGCAATGGTTATAAACATTTATAAAGAAATTAATGCAAAACATATATGTTATGGTAGACATACCTTCCGAAATGCCTTCCAACTATACAATGCCATGTAGGATTATATTTACGATCAAATTCTTTCTTAATATAAGCGGCTACATCTTTTTCCACTTCAAATTTATCTAATGCACTAGCGGCAACATGGACTGCATCATCTTGCATATCAGGATTCATGTCAGCATTTTTAATAACAGCTTTTCGTTCACCCATCCTTTTTGGTTAGAGTTCTTCTCAAATAATTCAGTAAAAACCGACTGTTTTTAAACCTTGATAAACACAGTTTTATATATATAGAGATTCTGATCACTCATCTTAGGGTTTAGTATATAACTGAGCTCTCTAAATCACATTTAGCTTCAGTAACTTGGCTTCGCTTCACCTGATACACAGACACACACAATTCGTAGAATACTATTTCATTTAATCAATCAATCTGTCAATGTGTGTTTCCATCTGGTTCACAATTAGCTCCCATGTATATATATGTGCATGCATATATTCAAATACCTACTCTACTTTCTCCAAAAATTAAGTGTGCACAGACGAAGTGTCTGTTACACTATCATTACACTGTTATTTCTTATTCAGTGTGTTAACAGTTCTCTCACTATCTTCATATTTTTTGGTGGTATGTGATTATTTCAATTGTTGTAGAAATCAATAACTCTTTGATTTCTCTGATAAAATCGACTTATTTTGAGTGGGTGTTCATGCACATAAAAGATACACATGAGTACACAGAGAACTGTGCTTAAATGATAATAATAATTATTGTTATATTATAAATACGAAACAACAATTGATTTTGCTATCTGGTTATCCTTTTTGAGTAGTGTTTTAGCTAGACTAGTTGATGGAAATCATCATTATCTAACGTGAAAATTAGAGTCCATCTATACAAGGACATTTTATCTCTATAGAATGTATTATTGATTTGTTTGTATTCTACGTTATAATAACCTTCAGAGCACTATTGTATGTGAATAATAGAGTGATCAGTGATGATTTTACCCCGTTAGATCATTTTACTCGTCAAATAAATTAAGTAAAAGAGAGATTGAATTACCACTAACACAACAGACACTTAAATTGCTTCACCGGTTTCACTAATAGTTAGAATAAAAGCTTTCTTACGATACTATCCACATGTATTTGTACTCAGAAGAATAATCACTTATCAGCTACAAATATGCGCTTCACCACTTAGCTTTTTAAGATAACTGGTTGTTCTTGAAGTCTCCACCATCAGAAAATTCTTGCTAATGAATTTTCGTCTTTTTATAGTGTCAGTGTAAGGGGTTTTATTTCTTAGAATGAAGGTCAGAGAATATGATATCAGCAGATAATGAGACGTTTCACAACAAAAAAGTATATTGCACTGAAGAATACGGAATAGGTTATATACTCAGAGTAAAAATCTAAACCAACCGATGAATTCTACATTATTCATAGGCGTTTACATTTTACAAGTTCAATGAAGAGTAGTCGACGTGCTGGATAGTATACAAAAGTAAGCGGTTCATTAAAAGATGTGGAAAGTGAACGTGACTTTCCCAATTTTACATCTTTTGTGAACATAAACATTTACAAATATGTCGTAAAGAGGGCTGCATCCACTTACCATTTAACTGCTTGAATAAAGTAATAGAAAAGTAGTGAAGACAAATAGGGAAAATGAATGATAATTAGTTGTAAACTAGGTCGAGTTTATCCATCTCATTCCAGTGAGTAATCCAGTTAAATATTTACTTCTGTAGTTAGGTTATAGTTGAGATATCTTACGTAATTCTAATGGAATTATTGAAATCAGCTTATTATAAATTATTTCTGCTTTGCTTACAGAAGCTACATTAATGAATAATAGTTCTAAAAGCGGAATTAGTGTTTTTTTGACTAATAAGGAATAACTTACAAAATCGAGCGACTGTTATACTACCAAAAGAGTTCTGAGAACATGTTGTTTACATTACTAACCATAAAAGAACTCTACAATTAGCCAGACCAATGAAACTTGCCCATTAGCTATGAAATATAGCTTGAAAGTAAGTAGACGGACGATTAAAAGATTGAAATCATTAGAATTTTAAATCTGACTATCATTTTATGGGTTTTGCAGTATGAAAATGTCCTCTTTGAAGCAAAATAAACTCTCAAGAAATATAATGTACTGCTTCTATGAAGACTTAGAAACGGCTTAATTGTATTGATTATGGCATTCTTCATTTACAGATTTTCTATTGTTAAAATATAAAGCGAAGCGTCTATTCAGAGGTCTTATGATATTTCCTAACCGATTCTTCAATATAAAATTTTTTCTAAATGAAGGAAACACAATCTAAAGACCTGATTATTGAGATCAAATTAACTATTGGTAAATTGTGGTATCTATCTAACAAATAACTCAAGTCCTATGCTAATTTTCACAAAACACTGACATACTACACTAGGCAAAATTAAAACCATAAGTTATTAACTGTATGGACATATTTAAACAATATTAGTTAGGCTATCTTTTAACTTGACATTTGCATTAACTGAGTGTGGGAGAGTTAATGGAATCAAGTTAGTACTCAGATGATAATCTGTGCTGCCAGATGAGATTCTGTTGCTTTGTGGGACCAACACAATGGGGATTTTAGTATAATAATGAGAACAGTAGCTTTTATTCTGAAAAATGCGTTTTATACACATTACAGAATTTGTAGCAGATTAAATTGCAAGGTATTTATCCCTAATTCAGAATCTTGAAATAATATAATAATCGGTGAAATGTCACCTGAAGCAATATTGTTCCATCTGCAGTATACCCTGATGCTACTCCGCAGTGTCCCTACATTCCATTAGAAAAATTTCTACAGGTTGGTTGAAATTTAGTCGAAATTGTGACAATTAGAAGATGGAAACAATTTGAAACAGAGTAAAAACGATGCATTCTAATGGACAGAAAATTAAGGTGGCCCAGTGATTTCAGCAGGTCACCGTCGCAATCATCTAAACAATACAATTCGAACCATGCGAATGTATAAAAACATCCTAGATCAATCACCTTAATTATTTTCTGACGTACTATACTTCATCAAATCTTTAAAGCACTTTAACATGTGTATTTTTAAGTCAAAGTAAAAACAAAACCAGTAAAAGTTTCAACTCACCTTCCAAAATGCTTTCCAACCACACAATGCCAGTTTGGAATATATTTACGATCGAATTCTTTTTTAATATAAGCAGCAATATCTTTTTCTACATCATATTTATCCATTGCAGCAGATGCCACGTAAACAGCATCATCTTGCATAGTTCTCTCCATATCGGCATTCTTAATGACGGCTTTACGTTCAGACATTTCGTAGTAGTAGTGTTCTTGTTAACTTTCTTTGTTTCTATCTAACTGTATGCCACAGTAGCGTATTTATACTCTTCTTAAAATCTTTTTAAAATTTAAATTGATTGAAGAGGTTAGCAATTTCTTTTTGAGGCTTAAAATATAGTCCTCATCATATATATAAGTTGTCATTAAGAATAATGGTAATTATGTCAATGAATTACAGGTGAGGTGAATGCTACTTCATTTGCACCCTTCATTTATTCCAAATATAAATTAAGTAATATATATGCATAAGAGTAATCACACAAGCATAAGATGGAATTACTACATTAGTGTTGATGTTGTTGAAATCATCACGAAATAATTGAGATTTACAGTAATAGTGATAGCTGTAAGAATACACACCACATGATGGTGATGACATTAAAAAAGGATTGAATTCCATAAATGGAATAAAAAAAAAGAGATGATTAAGTACAGGTGAACTTTTGAAAATGCTTTAGAATTTCTCATTTTTTTGAGCATTATGGCCTTAGGCTAAAGATAAAAAGAAAGAAAGCTGTCCTCTTAAGTATTCAAGAAGAATCTAGTTTATTGACAAAGGAAATTCATTCAGTTTCTATGTGAACAGTATTGCATATTAATAAGTAATGTAATGTAAGTGTTCTGTTAAAATATAATTAATCTCATCATCAATAAATCTTTTTATGATACATTTCACCGATATGACAAGAATGAGGGTTTAATTACAAGTAAGACGACATAAACTAAACATTTAGTAATTGTGAACCAGTTATGTTCAGCATGAAGAATTACAGAATTAATAGAAATTAGAAAAGTTGTCGCCCAAAATAGATATATTCTATCACCTAGAGTTAAACAGCAGTAAAATGGAACCGTAGATGAATTATGTACCTGTAATAACATTATTGACGATCACATCAAGAGATTCTTTAAGGGGTCATTTTACATAGCCACACAACCAATTGATCTTAGTGATATGAAGATTATCACCTTTTGTAGTGGAAAAATTGTTTGGAAAATCCCATCTGGACGCCATAGTTACGGCACTGCTTCTTATTCAGAAATTCTAACTTTGTAAACATTATCTTTTTTCTCCTGGACTGAATATTATTGTTGTGAGGCTTGCATATTATACGTCGACTTTATTCCTGTTTAGTCACTTATTTTAGAATCTCTTTCTGTGGTTGTCTAGTGATAGTGTTTTGTTTTACAATACGATTGTGTTTGAGTGAGCCAAGGACATTCTGACTTTGGACTGTTTGTGAAAATTGTTTAATGCGTGATTCTTGTTGATTAAGTTTTGATCCCACCTCGTTGGGAACATTTTTCTTGACTCTAATTCCTACAGATGGTTTTCATATAACTACTTTTGTTCTACAGTACTTGTTTTGTACTGGAAATTTTTGGGAATCTGTATAGCCGTTCAACGACAATGTTGACGTAATTTTGACTATTCGGTATGTTATTGTTGTTAGCCACTGCTATAGATTCTATTGTAAACAACTGTGTTTTTGATGTCATTGGGGCATTTTGTGACTGTGAGCAATATAGAGAGGCTTTAGTCATCTGTGCAGTAGAAAACAAAGCTCGGATTCCTGAAATGAGACTGCAGTATGTCGGTTTCGGTTGTTACAGTTGCTGTGCTGTTCACAAACACGGAAATATGAATGAACTGGGGTTGTAAAACAGTTCTAATGCGCTGGAATAACCAAGACCTATACAATTAGCTGTGATAAATCGCATATGCAGTAGAGAACTTATAATATTTGAAAAACTACGCATTAAAACTAGTGGTAATAATAAAAAATAATGCACATTTAAGCCTGAGTTGTTTAACAGAGTGGGCTCGGAAGATTTCAGTGATATTTGCACTATGGTGTTTCGATAGTTCTACAGCTGTGTTCAAAATTACTGGATTCGTATGCATCCATTAACATGAATAAATATATGTTATTTAATGTTAACTGTGTTTTTGCTGTCATTGGGGCATTTTGTGACTGTGGGCAATTCAGGGAGGTTTCGGTCAGCAATGCAGTTGAATGCGAATATCGGTTCCTTGTGTTCAGAAAAGAGCAAACCAGTTTTGGACGTTACAATTCCATTGTGGGTAAAGTATAATTTTGATAAAGTCTCACAGTGTTATGCAGTAAATAATATTTACTGATGACGTTTCGAGCACAATTTATTGTTCATATTCATATCATGGTACTCCTCACACAACTTTCTAACTTCGTTTATATAATTGTATTATTTTTCATCTCTTGACTTGATTGGATGTAGTAGTTTCCATATTTCCGGTATGAGTGATGAGTCATTCCTGTTGCATA